CACCCGTTTTTTTTTTTTTCACTGCTCCTCTCCCGTGCCACCCATCCATTCATCCATCCATCCGCACCCTCAGACCGAGCCCTCCTCACCGCAGTCCTCCTGGAATCGCTCCTGCCTTGGGTTCGTCAGCGTCCCCGCCCAGCGGGGAACAGAGCGGAGGGGAGGGGCACCGGCAAAACCCGATGTGGCTGCGCAGCCGCACCCCTTCACGCATGGGCGTGGCATAGCTCAGGACCGCCCCTCAACCGCCACGAAGCACTTGACGTTGTGCCTATGTCACCCATCTACAGCGCAACAGCTCTGGGTCTCAAGAAATGCCTTTGCCAACCTGTATTCCAAGTTGCCCTCTCCCACCCCTCCATTCTGGATAAAGGTGAACTCCTGACACAAGCATAAAACCACAGGATGTTGAACAATAATTTATTGAGATCCCTCCCTCCCAGCCTCTACAATTCCGAGGTCACTTTTTCCGCTTGTAGATCTTGTTTGCTAGTCCCAAGAAGATGGATGGGGGCAGGGGCGCAGAGCACTGCTCTATGAGACTCTTGAGGCGGTTGTAACTGTCTTCCTCATACTTGAGGAACACTGTCTGCAGATCCAGCGCCTCATACAGTGCTTTCACCCGCGCCACTTTTTCTGGATCCTTCTGCCCATAATTCTCCTGGAAGCAGGAAAACAGCTTTACTTGGCTGGGTCCAAAGGTCCTCACAACTCATCCATACACTCCAGAACACTGGCAAAACTCTCCTCTCTGGGGATCCAAGATATCAAGCATTGCCTTCCCCACCCCAAAGTTCAGGTATTGGCTCAGGATTCTACTTCCTGTAGGGTTTCTCAGCCTTGACATGCTGAGAGTTATTGGGCAACATGTGCTGTCTTTCACTGTTCAAAATCTTCCTGATTCTGCCTGCTAGCCACCTTCAGCACATACACCAAATTGCACTGAGTTGTCGAATGTTTCCTGGACAGCAAAATCACCCTGCTCTCCTGACCATTCTTCCTCCATCCCCCTCTTAGCAAAGGGACATGCCACTCCCAGCCCCCACTTGAGCACCTCTAAGATCTGGCGCTGTTGAGGAGTGGCTCGTAGCAGACACTGAACCACCAGCCAGCTGCATTTGTTGTCCTGGATGTCAGTGCCGACCTTTCCAGTCACACTGGGGTCTCCAAAGAGATCGAGGTAGTCATCCTAGGCGGCAGGCAGAAAGAAGGAGAGATGAGAAGGCCTCCAGGCAGGAGGAAGAGGAAATATGCACTCTGCTGCTGGAAGACCTTCCTACCTGGATCTGAAAGAACTCGCCCATCTCCAGCAGGATCTTCTGGGCACTGGCATGTTCCTTCTCTCCGTCAATGCCTGCCTGTAGGGAGACAAGACCACAGGCACCGTGCCCTTCCTGAGGCTTCCCGTGGGCTTTGCTTAACTGCAGTCCAACCTCCTGCCCTTCCCAGGGAAGCCTAAAGAAGGGATCTGTTCTGAAGGCATCACGTCATCTTCCCCTGGGAGCTGCACCCATTACAGCTCCACTTACAACTCCAACTTCTCACAAAATGAAAAGAAAGTCTGGAGAGGCAGGTGAGGACGGACCGTGAACCACCTCCACACCTAGTCTCTTGCCTCAGCCTCGATTTTCCTCTGCCCCCGCCCCCATTCAGATGTGCCACTCACAGGCCTCAACTCTGCTCACTTTCCAGTATAAGAGGGACTGGGTGGCTTGCTTGAGGTCATACCGACATACAGTGAAATGTGTCTACTCCGTGCTCTCCTGTCCCAACATCCCCAAGAGAAAACCGTGGCAGTGGCATGACTCACCATGTACATGGCAGCCGCAACAGGCAGGTAGAAAGAGTAGAACGCTGTCTTGTACTTGACAATAGATTTGTACCTGAGTCAGGGGAGAAGATACATCCATCAGCGCACGGCCCATCTCGAGTCTCTCACCATCTATACGATTGCCAGTGGCCTCACCTCTTTTCAGTGTATCTACCAAGATCCACATGGCCCTGGGGTGCTGTGATGAGGTCTAGAGTCTGCCCAATCTCGGTCTGATAGGAACTCTAGGGAGGAAGATAACACATGGTCTCTAAGCCAGGCTTTCTCCAGGATTGGGAAACGCTGGCACCCTGGGCCTTGTACACCAAGCAGCTGACAACTTGGCAGCAGGAGGGGAAAAAGAGCATCTCCACGCTCAGTCACATGATAGCCACCTTCACTGCCTCTGCTTGCCACCACACCCTTCTGAGCCAACCCTAGCAGAACAAAAGAGCACACGCCACAGAGGCTAGAGCTACATGGACAGCTATGGTACCCCAGCCCCACGCACCTGCAGAAAGAGCTCCAGCAGGTTCAGGTAGTAGGGTTGCTCCCTGCAGTAGAACTTCAGCAGGCGGAAGATGGAGGCTTCCAGAAGCAAAGCATCGTTGATGGCATCCAAGCCTATGCCTGGCTGTTAGAAACAGCATGAAACAAGTTACTGCTGGCCAGATTCAAACCATCACAGCAGACACTCCAGCCACCTCCCCTGTGGTCTGTCCACCACACCCACTGCTACTTTCCTGTCTGCCTTCTTACCTTCTGATACCAGCAGATCTGCCCCCGGCGAGTGAGAGAAGAGTCCATGATGTCATCTGCCACAAGTAAGAAAGCCTGGAGCTAGGAGAAGGAGCACAGTCAGACCACAGGGCTCTGGAAGGCCCTCTCTCAGTGACAGCTGCTGCTCTGGCCACTGCCGTGCACTGGGTACAAAGGTTGGTTGTGGGGACCCTGACAAGTTACCGAACCGAACCTCCTCTCAGATTTCATGTATGCACCCTTTTTTTCAGGCTAATGGACTAAAATATACCTCTGCTACCTCTAATCGGCTCTAGGACTCTCTGGTAGCAGGGAGAATATGAAACACCATCATGTAGCTCACTCTTGCCCAAAACGTCAATAAATTTTTATTCCAGTAACTATGTTGGCTAGTTTAAGTTCAACTTGACACAAGCTATAGTCATTTGGCAAGAGAAAGACTCAACTGAAAAACCACCCTCAGCAGATTGGCCCTATGGGCAAAAACTGGGAGGCATTTTCACAGTTTTCACAGTAGGTGCTGCCGCCCCTAGGCAGGTAGTCCTGGGGTGTATAAGGGAGGAGGCTGAGCAAAATATAAGAACAAACCAGTCATCAGCACCCTGCATGGCATCTTTGTTAACTGCCACCCCGACGTCTATCAGTGATGGACTATGAGGGTCACACGTCCAGGAGCACCACCCCAAGCACCACCTTGGCTACCAATGGCTTTTTCCTGTAGATAGAGCCAAGCTCCTTACATGGCCAAGGACATGCACTTCTGCCCTTACCTCTACTGCCCAGGTGCTGAGGTCACAGCCGTCTGCTGCCATGCCTGGTTCTGTGCATGGCTGGGCGCTAAACCCAGGACTTCATGCTACCAACTGAGCCACTTTGCCTGCCAGTAAATGCTCTTTAATCTCAGCAAAGGGCTCACTTGCCGGCTCCTCTAGATACCCCCAGAGCCTGGCCCTCCCCACGAACACTCGAGAATGCCCATGACACTTTTGGGTTTTGTTTCCTTGAGACAGAGCCTCACTGGCCTCAACCTCAAGGTCCTCAGCCCACCTCCTGAACACTGAACCACCTTACTCTTGCAGGCAGGCTCCACATTTGTTACACGGTAACTGCTGTAACCGAATGACTTGACTTGGCTTTATTGTGTTAAGAGTGCTGAGGATGGAACCCAGGGCTTTACATATGGTAGGGAAGGCTTGACCCCACAACAAAATTAAGTACTTTTTCTTTTTTATTTAACTATTATTATTGTGTGCAGGGGCATATATATGCTACAGCACACAAGTAGAGGTCACAGGACAACTTCTAGTTGTTTTTCTCTTTCCATCTTTCCATGGGTTCTGGGACGGAACTCACTTTCGCTGGGCTTATTTGGTGAGTGCCTTTACCCACTAGAACTCCATTACTGGCCCTTCACTGATGGGGTGAGGGAGGCATGAGTGAGGTCAGAGGGTGACTTTCAGGAGTTAGTTCACTTCTTACATGGGCTCTAGGGATCAAACTGAGGGCTCCAGAACTTTTACTGACTCACCCTGCCATCGCTACAATTCTCAACAGAAGTCTATCATGACATCATTCAAATACCACAAACTGGTCTGTTTAATAGACCAATAATTTCGTAAGTCAGTATGAGTCAGGTGTGACGGCACACACCTATAATCCCAGCACTGAAGGCTGAAATGAGGTGATCTTGAGTGTTTATGAGCCGTATACAGTGAGATTCTGTCTCAAAAAAAACAAAAATAAAAACAAACAAACAAAAAACATCCAGACACTGGTGGTGCTCACCTCTAATCCCGGCACTCAAAAGGCAGAGGCAGGTGGATCTGAGTTTGAAGCCAGCCTGGTCTACTGAGCAAGTTCCAGGACAGTCAGGGCTATGCAAAGAAACCATATCTTGAAAAACTAAAGGGCAGGGATGTAGTTCAGGGATAAGAGTGTGTTTATAATAGACAAGGCCCTAGGTTTCATCAACTTGAAAACCCCTCACCCACTCAGAGGGGGAACAAAACATCACAGACACTCTAGAGCCGGGTCAGAAACAAATCAGAGCCATAGGTGGGGGCATGTACCCTACCTTAGGGGAACAGCTTTCACTTGGGTCTGGAAAGTCATTTCAGTAAGTAAACATGTCAAAGATCTGAGCTGTTTGTTATGTGTGTACATGTTTGTGTGTTGGGTGTGCATGCATGTTGTTACAGGTTTGTAGAAATGTGTGCATGTGTTGTGCACGCATGTCTCACATATGCATGTTCTCTGTACATATGTTACAAATGCATTCATGTGGAGATCAGAGGTCAACATTGGATGTCTTCCTCATTTTGAGGGAAGGTTCTCCGAGATGTCTCATTTATTAAATTTTATATAACATATTTTTGGTAGCAATCTATATGTATTTTTTCATATATTTGATAGAAATGAAAAGCTAGAAAGAAAAAAACGAGAATGAATGTTTCATGAATTTGTCATCCTTGCAAAGAGGCCGTGCTAATCTTCTCTGCATTGTTCCAATTTCAGTACATGTGCTACCAAACTGAACACTGTTTATTTCATACGCATTGGTGTTGGTCTGCTAGTCAGTCTGTGAATCAAGTGCATGCCTGGTGTCTACAAAGGCCAGGAGAGGGTGTCAGATCCCTTAAGTCTGAAGTTATAGATGGATGTGAGGCATCATATGGGTACTAACCATTGAACCGAGGGCCTCTGTAAGAGCAGCCAGTGCTCTTAACCTCTGACCTATCTCTCCAGCCCTTTCACCTTATTCTTTGAGACAGGCTCTATCACTGAAACTGTGCCAGACTGGCTAACAAGCTCCAGGGATCTGCATCTCTCTAGCCACCTGAGGAAGGGTATTACAGACGCACACAGCTGTTATATGGATAGTGAGAGACTGAACACAAGTGTTTCTGCTTGCCCAGCAGCCACTGCACTGACAGCCAATGCTCTGAGTCTTGTGTGCGTGTGTCTGTGTTACACATGTTTACATGGTGTCTGCACTGCGCATGTCCATGCGTGTTTACATGGGTCAGCTGTCCTGTATACTCTCCACCTCGTTTTTTGGAGGCAAGCCTTCTTTCACTGAGCCCGGAACTGACTGACTGGCTAAAGTAGCTTGCCAGCGGGCTCTGGGAATGTGGCTGTCTCCATGCCCCAGCACTAGCTGGGCGTTATGTATTACAGACGTATTCCACCATCACACAGTTGTATGCATTTAGTGTGGGCATGAGCACAGGGGAGTAGAAGCCAAAGGAAGATGCCAGGTGTCCTGCCTATCACATCAGTGTGTTCCTTTTAACCTGGATCTCTCTCACTGAGCCAGGCAGCCCAACCAGCCTCCGGCCTCTGCCTACAATGCAGATTCTGTGGTCAGCCACAGCTGGATTTTCATAGGTCCTGGCACCCAAACTCGGCTCTTCTGCTTGGCTCGCACCAGACAAGCCATCTCACCAGCTTTTAAAACGGTTTTCTTTTCAAGTTTAGAAAATTTAAGGTTTGTTATTTGACACAGGGTTTCTTGGTAGCCCTGGCTGTCCTAGAATTTACTCTTTAGATCAGGCTAGCCTAGAACTAAAAGAGATCAACTTGCCTCTGCTCCCAGTGATGAGAGGAAAGGCATGGCCCACCACCATTGTTGAAATTTAAGGTTAGCATTTCTGAAAACTCTCTGTGCCCATCTGTCAGTCCCTGAAGTGACTCATGCTGCCTAAATGTGACTGCAACACACAAGAGACACAAACACCAGCACAAGCAAGAAACAAGCTTATTCTCCTCCTCAAGGAACCCCACTGCGGGACCCTCTGCTCCTCTGGACGTTCTTACCAGTTCTACACACCAGCCCACAGTCAGGGCCCGCTGAAGACTCTCAGCATCCTGTTTCCTCGGCTCCACCAGCTCCTGGAAGGCTTGTACCACGGTCATACCCCGGTTGTACTTGCCTCCTACAGCATTGTACTCCAGGACCTGAGACAGGATGAGAGGACATCAGGGTCTACATAACAGGGACCCAAAGAGATTTTCCCCTCCCTTCTCTGAACCTCAACTCCCCCTTGGAGAGCCCCTGGATCACCCCTCTCTTCATTTCTTCTCCAAAGTCCTATGGCATATGGCACCTAAGTGCATGCTACATAATGTACACCCAATTCTTCCCTTAAGCCGAGAACTTGGACCACCTGCAAACAAGCCTATATAGAAGACAAGAGCCCTAGTGTGGAGTGATGGCTAACTCCAATGATCTCAATACTCAGAAGGTGGAGGCAGGCAGACCGCATGAGTCTGAGGCCGCCCTCAGATACATAATGAGTTCCGGCCAGCCTTGGCTACAGAAAATAAACAAACAACAAGGCTTCTCCAAAGTTAGCCAAAGGAAGGCATTGAAGGGACAGCAAGGTTCAGGGCTATTTCTGACCTCTCCAATGGTCCTCCTCCTGGGGCCTTCTCACTGTGCCTTCTGCCAGACAGCAGTGCTAACTACCTAAAGAGATAGCTCTTCTTCTTTTTTTTTTTTTTTTTTTTTTTTTGGTTTTTCCAGACAGGGTTTCTCTGTATAGCCCTGGCTATCCTGGAACTCACTCTGTAGACCAGGCTTGCCTCAAACTCAGAAATCTGCCTGCCTCTACATCCCAAGTGCTGGGATTAAAGGCGTGCGTCACCACCGCCCAGCCAAGAGATAGCTCTTCAATACCTACACAGTATACACAGAGAAAACTATCTCCCTTTGGCTTTAACTCAGAGATGAGACAACATTTATAAAAAAGAATTCTCCAAGCTACAGAGACAGCTCAGCAGTGAAGACTGCCCCTCCAGAGGACCTGGGTTCAGTTCCCAGAACCCACATGGCAGCTCACAACTGTCCTCAGACATAGATGGAGGCAAAATGTCAATGCACAGAAAAAAAAAAAATGTATGTCTTTAAAAGAAAAGAATTCCCAATCTAGACATGATGGCATTGTAACTGATACAGACCACAGTAGGCTGAGGCAGGGGAGTTGTGTGTCTGAGGCCATGTAGGCTTTTAAAAAAAAATGAAACTCTGTTTGAGAAAATAAACATGAGACTGGAGGGAAATGGGTAACTCAAGTAGAACAGCAACAGTCCCCTTCCTAGAACAAGCTTTCTAACAATACAATAACTTCCCCTCAGGCCTCAGTGCCAACAGCCCCCTGGTAGCTACTAAGATCCTATCTTACAGTTTCAGGACATGCAATCAAACTTCACGAGGTCCAAGTCTCTACTCTCAATTGAAGCTGTCTGGATGGTCAAAAGTCAGGAAGTCAAATATCAGGGAGGTGGTCCAGAGACTTGGGTAAAAACCGTTACTTCCGCTCTTCTCAAAATCCCCTACTGGCTTCTTCAGTCCTGAATCCCTCACCTCCTTGAGCCGGGTAATAGCATCCCCTGTCTCTGGGTGTCCCAGCTCATCCTCAGTCAGCACCTTGATGATTTGGGAGAAGTGCTGGATGAAATTCTGCTTTTCTTGGTTATAAACATCCGAATTCTGGTTCCCATTCATTCTGACAGAGGAGCTAAATGCTCTGAGGGAAAAAAAACACACACACAAACAAATGAGAGGATGGCTCCAGTGCTTCCCTCCCCGAAGCCCGGCACCACAACCACACTCACCGAGGCTCCTCTGTCCACACTTGGCACCACCAGCGGGCACTGTGCCAGGCCCCCAGGACTGGACACCCATATGCCAGGGAGGGTCGTTGTAGGTAACCAAGCCACCTCTCCCGGGGTGCCCAGCAGGGGGCTGGCAGCAGGAAGACCCCCAGAGATCTCAGCCAGCGGGACAGGGGCATCCCGGGTGGGCATGGGGGTGGGGGACACCAAGCACTCCCTGCAGGAGCAAGCACCGGAGGCAGATGCTTGGTAGCAGTTACCTAAGGTACCCCCTAAGCCAAGCTTTTTACCTCTTGCATTAGAACGCCCCACCCTGTTTCTAAATTCAAGAATTACAGAAAGAACACACAGGAAATAAAAAGTATATCAGAGTGACTGAGATCCAACACATCTTCATTTAAACCGAAAATGGCTAAAACTGAACGCTTTCTACTTCCAAGGCTGCGTTCACTACAATTCGGAACGGAGAATTATGGGATGGAAGGTCCTTAAGTCACACTATTAATGGAGACACCAAACTGAGGTTCAGCGGGTATTAAATAGCTGAGCTGACGCAGAGCCAAAACTAGAACCGAGAGGTCCGCGTGTAGGAAAAGGAAAGGGAGGTTCGGGCTCTTAGATACGCCCAGAAAGGGGACTGGAACCGAAGGTGCTGTGGGCTTGTCGTCTGTCTGTACAGGCACTGGTGCTAACCGCAGCGGCCCTCCGAGCAACAGGTGGGCGTGGGAGGGCTCACAAGAGTAAACTCGCGGCCTGCCGTACGGAGGACTTGAGGAACAAACCACCGCATAGTTTAGAAATTCACTAAAGGACAAGCAAACCGCTCGGTCTGGCCCACCGACCCCAAGACCCGTAACTCCGACACAAGCTGGTTCTTTGGTGCCTCGGAGCTTCACCCGACCTGAGGCAGGAGTAAACGTCAGCTCCAGCCCCAACAATATCGCTCACCTGTTCTTCAACGCGGATTCTCCCGGGGTCCAAGATGTTTGCGGATTACACCTAAAAGCGGAGCGTGCATCCGCTCAGCATTCTGGGAGTTGTAGTTCCCAGTCTCCAGGCTCAGTAAGCAGAACCTAAATGTAATACTACGACTCCCGGCATGCCGCAGACCAGGCAGCGAGAAACTCGGACTTTTGCCTCTGGGTGGGCGTAGCCGAATTCGCTGATTGGCTGAATGACCTCGTGTGAGCATGGGCCTTGTGACGACCGGCCAATGAAAGGGTGGCGCGCGGGCCATCAGCCCACTGAGCGGTGGGCGGTGTCAGTACTCCCAGACCAAAAGTCTGGAAATTCCGCTCTCTGATTCCTAGCTGTAACTCTACCAGTGCTTCTGGTTGACAGAGTTTCTAAGATCCCGGAATAACCAGCCTTGCAGCTTCCTATTTCCAACTCTGGCAAATCACTTCTTACGTCTTTGATTCTAGCTAGGTGAGGTCGCTCATTTTTCCAGCCCTTAGAAGGGCAACAAGATCACAAGTACAAAGCCAGTATGAATCTTATTATAATGAGTTTTAGGCTACTCTGAAAACTATGGAGAAAACAAAAACACTCAGGTACTCTGGCTCTCTTGAAGTAAAAAGGTAAAAATTCAAAGCAGAAATTAGAACTTTCAGCTTCAGTTTGCCCGCCCACCACGCTGACTCCTTTATACTCCCCCCACCCCCCAAACTCCCATTGCAATCAGGAAAGAGACCTGAAGCTACAAACCAGCTAAGGTATTAACGGACTTGTCCTTGTAGTATTAGAAATAAGTTCATGGTCCCAAAGAAAAAGACCATTACCACTCCCGACTAAAAAGTTGAAGGGTCTAAAAAAGTTAAACTTTACTCTTTTATTTTGTTTCTCGAGACATGGTTTCTCTGAGTCGCCCTGCCTGTCCTAGAACTCTCACTGTAGGTCTGGCTAGCCTTCAACTCACAGAG